TCTCCCGACTGGGGTGGTGCCCTGCTGACGAGAAACATAGAGAACGAAATCCCGTTAATCTCTGTGAATGCCGTTGTGAGATCTCGCATTCCAGCGGGAGAAGAACCTTTTATCTCCCAGTAGATGACATGCACTTCATTGCTGTGTAACAGGTCTAATACCCACAGCAGTTTAAGCACCCATAAACACAAAATACCACAGCTCATTTTTTTTTCTTCTGGAAAACTTCACGCAATGTTTCAAACTGGTGTGATAAGCATTGATAATTGAAACCAAAAACGTATTATTAACCCGAAATATTTAACTTTGTTTGCCGAAAGAAAAAAATACGACCTGTGTTATTTTGTGATTTGTACGTGTTTGGATGTGCAGAAACCAAAAGTTAAACATTTTTCTATCCCTCCCATTTTTTTGCAATGTCAGAGTTGCTGGGATATGAACTCGAATGTGACGAGCGAAAATATTATTTGTTAAGTTTCCAAGAATGTAGTTTTATTGCGTTCTTATGTAATAAATTTTTAACATTTTTATCTACTAGACTTGTATAAGGGCCAGTTTTTAATTTTTTCTCTTGTCTGTTTTTTGTTGTATCCGAAGTTTCATGCTGTTTCATTCGGAAGTAATCCCCCCAGCATAGACACATTTCAATTTTCTTTGAAACGCCCCCTCAATATCTTTAAAATCGTTGTGGAATCTCTCTCCTTGGTTTTTACTGAAGTTCCCACGTTTTCTGTGAATCCACATGGAAATGTAAGAAATGGACTTTCAAACGTATTTTACAACTTAGAGCTTTGAATTCTGTATTTATAAGTTTCACGATACTTTTGTGGTCAGGATCTTTGTTGACTTCTGGGAATGCATAATGATCAGCTTGCACGATTCCGAAGCTTGGTTTTCAGCTTCAATCGTCGTTGGAGTGAAGAATGTATCCGACTGTAGTTTACGAAATATCTGTCAAGTCACACAAAAATTTCCTTTCAATTTAGATTCAGATAGTTTTGGGAATTTGGAGAACGTATCTGAAGAGTTCTTTATCTTTTGGATGCGATTTCCCGAATTGTTTCATCAGCTTCGGCTTAATGCGAATAGGCAATAGGAGAAGCCTATATTACCATTTTTTTCGCCTGGTCTGAGACCGTTTAGAAGAACCCAGTTTTCTTTTTCTCAATGAGTGTATCTTACACGACTGTTACACAAGCAAAGAAAGCAGGGGTACTTAGTGTTCTGACTGTTGGCATCGAAGAAAAATAATTTTAAAACGCCCACAGTCTATTTCAAATTTCTTCCAGAGACGCAAACATCATTGCAGTCAAATAGACGGCCTTCTTTGGAGAAATGTAATTGTTTTTTTTCTTTATATCTGACCCAAACGAAGGATGTATCCTGTTATAATTTGTTTTAGCGTAGATACTAAAAAGGCCTCTGCGTCTTTGGAAAATGCAATTTCTGTTGAAGCCCCTTTTGAGAAAAAAAGTAGGATCCGTCTTTTATTTATATACTAGGCAGATTATACTTGAATATATTGTATTATTAAACTTTCTTTATGTAATGTGATATCGTGTAAAGACTGTGAGTTTGGCATTAGGAAGTCACCGCCGTGATGAATTAGGCCGAGTAGCATTCTCAAGGTTGGGATAAGCAATTTCTCTTGTTTCATTTGTCCTTTCCTACTGTGTGTTACCTTTCACATCGATAGGTCATAAGTAGCAGTAACCACTGGTTTCACGAACATCATAGGAATTCCAAAACGAAACGATTCGTTCTTCTTTTTAAACCACAAAGCGCTTCATATTTAGTGCATCCTGAAGCAGTTCAGTTTTTGTCATGATCACCCAGTTTCAATAAGCTAATATGAATTCTTTTGTGACTCATATTTCTTACTGTGTTATACAACATATTCTCCACAAATAGAAAGGAAATGGTTAGGTGAATTAACACATTTGTACTAATCAGATTTCAAGATACAGAGGTGCATTAACGTGAAGACAACTAAAGGAAAGACTGAGCTAATAAAAATGTTAACTATTGCAGTAAGATTAAATCTGACAACGACAACACCGCGCACTTTATCGGCCTCAATGTCTGTGTCAAGATAATAAGGAAGCAGACACAAGGGAAAATCCAAGGCAATAACTGATTTAGTCTGAAATCAGTAATTGCATTATTGTTAATTTGCTAGTTTAGTGGTAACATGTGATACTGTTTTAAAAAAAGAAAGAGAAAAAACATTGTGAAGGAGCAAAACCGACGTCATTTTCGGTTGCAGCAAACAAAGAAACTTCAGAATTAAACATTAAATCCTATGCATTTGTTTGCTCGCAGACTATGGTAGTCGATCCAAAAAACCCCTGAGTAAGATTCCGTTGCTTCGGGGAGAATGAAAAATCCCAAGGAGCGCCTATTAGATTTCACTGAATTTTGAAGAAGGGATGAAGAAGAAACGTCTTTTTAAATGTTTTTCGACCAACGTTTCAAGGGGATGAAGTGGCCTTCCAGAGGCAAGCGACGTAAAAAGGTGATAGTACTGACCCGATTAAAAAATGTAATAATTTCGATCAAATCAAAATCAGATTTCAAAAATGCTAAAAATAATACAAAGGAAAAAATCGAAGAAAAATGTTAGTTTTCTTTAAAACAATTTTAACAAGAATTCTCCTTTTTTCGAAAAACTTGTTTGTAAAGGATTCTCTTCTTTACTTACTCCCAACAGAGATTTTCTTCAAGCAAAATAGTTCTAGGCAATAATTCTTAAAGTTTGTATTTAAGAATTATCTGAAAAATTGCACAATTTGTCAGGGGTAAATTTAGTAACCACCTTCAATTCATCACTGTCTTCTCTCCGTGCGATACGGCCGTTGTGCAATAGAATCTCATCTGCATTAGTGACCATAAACGCTTTTAGAATTTAGGTGTGCTATTATTATGCTTTATTATGTTCAAATACTTTTGCATATGATTATGCAAATTAAAATGGAATGAAAATTGTATAAATGGTTTGTATTTAGTTAGGCAGACGTTGTTAATATAGGTTTATGTTTGAGAGTAGTTTACCATCATAAAAACGAAGATGATCATGCATAGTTTTGTAATGGGTCTTGGTCGTACATATGTTTAGTAATTTAGTTTGCTCGAATATATTAAATATTTTATGCGAAACAGTAAATTCGCCTCTTAACGCCATCATTACGAGAGGGGGAGATTTCACCCATTTTAAAAAGTTTGTCCTCAGTAAACAAAACTTTTTCTTGATCCCATATAGCGTATCTCATTTTAGCAAAGTGGGAAAGGATCAGCTTGGAGGCTTCCTAGATAGTCTTAATTAGGTTAGGTTGGTCCTTTACAACAAAAACGAATTAAATGATTCTAGATACGATATCCGTTGATAAGTAAAAAGCAGACTTTCAGCAAATTCCTCGCAGAATCGAGTGGAACGTGTGACAATGACTACGCAACAAATAAATCGCCTGCACAAGTTCCAAAAGATATCTTGAAACTGTAGAGCTAAGTAATATAAGTAGATCATTATAGATTATAAGCTATTTACGACTTACCTTTTTAATAAGTATAATTGAATAAATACAAGACTGGCGCGAGGCACATGCCTAGGAGTACTTTCAAAATATAATATAATAGTACAATAATTGAACTTAAAAAGAAAAAGAAAATGAAATGTAAATACTCGTAAAATCAAACAGAAAAAATACATTAAAAATGAATGTAAAAAATTGTGCGGGGGGGGGATTCTGAAATTATTCCCGGGGCTGTAAGTCAGGGACCATTCCGGCATTGGGCTCAAGGGATTGAGTGAACCCTATCAGTTTGTTGGCATAAGATCGAAATTACACTCTCTTCTGAAAGCTAAGCATTATGCTTACAAGATGTGAAGAAAAGTGGCCACTACATTGGAAGTCGAAAAGTCTTTCTTAAGTTTGATGAAAGTATTATTTATCCTCAAAAACAGTAAAAATTGTGTAACCTAACCATTTTGTTTGGTAAACGAGCTTCCGATTTTATTTGAAAGTTCTACTGTTGATTTTAATGAGATTGGGAGTCATTGTCCCAGCTGATTTACATTACTTGTGACAGATAGAAATGAAATTGCGGGTAAATTGTTTTAGGTAGTAAAGGAATTTACAATTTAAAGTTGCATTCTACTATGTAGTTTTTAAACAAAATGACTGTTGTTATTTTACCTAGTCAGTATAGTTTTGACTGGTATAAAAAGCGTAGTGCACCAGAATATATTTTGTTTTTTGAAAAAATGTTTTTGTGATTTTTAATGTTGACTGGTAAAGCATTGTGAACATGTGTAGTAGAATTGCATGAGGAGTTTTGATGATGTGCTGTTGATACTAATATCTGACGAATAGATTTTCACCTGTGCGTTAGTTATTACTGTTATTATATGTTAGAGTATGTTAGAATTTTTGTTATCCGTAAAGTAAATCCCTATTCGTAAATAAAAATTCACCGCAGTGACAATACTTCAACGTTGCATTGAAAGATGTATAAAAGTATGCATCTGCCGGGTTGTTTTTACACAATTTTAGATCACATTAAGATATCTCAAGATATGGATTTTTTTTTATTTTGATGGAATTATTTTGTCTGATGAGAGAACTATTCTTTGAAACTATATCAGAAGAACTGTAATACACATTTTTCAAATTTACCTGAAGCTGTTTTATGATTTCCTTATACTGTTTTATTTGTTGAATAGTGAATAACCTTCTCTTACAATGTGGTCTGTTCATTGGCCAAATATATATTCAAGTAGTGACAAATTCTAATAACATTACATTGTTACATTTGATCCTAACGATAAATGTTTTATACAAATTTCTTTTTTTTTTTTTCTCCGTGCATTCCGTGCGAGATAATTGTGTACAATTAGTGAACCCCTGCAATCTGTTAACGCACCCAAGGACTTGCAGAACAACCTCTAACCGGCATGACTGAATGAGGGAGATGAGCGGTGTTGCGCGTGTGTGTGTGCGCAGGTGGAGACGGTGGCGTGGTCGCTGGAGGAGCCGGGCGCGGGCAACGGCGCGGGCAGCGGCGAGGGCAACGGCGAGGGCTCGCGCCTGGGCGACTTCCTGGCGCGCAAGCACTTCGAGCTGGTGATCAACCTGCCCATCCGCGACGGCGGCGCGCGCCGCGTCTCCAACTTCCTCACGCACGGCTACCGCGCGCGCCGCCTCGCCGTCGACTACTCCGTGCCGCTCGTCACCGACGTCAAGTGCGCCAAGCTGCTCGTGCAGGTCAGTCGGCGATGCGACGCTCTTTCTATTTATAACTCTGTGTTTATGGATGTGTGTGTGTGTGTGCGTGCGTGCGTGCGTGCGTGCGTCACTGGTGGATCCAGGGTGGGGGTGCATGGGGGCCATGGCCTGGAGTTTTCGTTTACCTTCCCTTTGTTTGGCAAAATTGATTTAAATAATTATGTTCGAATTATGTAATTATTTAAACAATGTTATTGTATAGTATCATATCTACACTACATAAATATAAAATATAATAACAAATCTGTTTATTATTTAACGAAAATCTATGATGCCTCCCGCCCTAAATGATCGGCTGGATCTGCCCCTGGTGTGTGTGTGTGTGTGTGTGTGTGTGTGTGTGTGTGTGTGTGTGTAAGAGGGAGGAGGGTACAGGAAAGAACATGCTATGGGGAACATAATGGATAAAACGGACTAATCATTTTTTTTTAAATAAAAATGTCAATACTGTAAGGGGGCTTGGGCGGCGTAAGGGCTCATAACTTTGTTGAGACACTGAGGAAAACGTTGAAACGTTACAGCCGAGATCTTGAGAAAAAAATATTAGTTTGTGTAGTGAAACATTTTTTTTTAAATTGTATGTAATGAAATACACATTATGTTAAAAATATTAACACGGAGTAATAGAGTATTGTCGAGCATAAGTGCCGAAATGAGAAAATTTACAAGTTCCACCAGCTTTTCAAACAGTTTTTGAAGATGAATTCGGAAATCAATTTTTGGCACTTGAAACGGTTGTCACTTACTGTCTACAACTGTACATAAGTATACAGGATGTTCCATTTAAAATTGGCTTTGTGAATATCTCGGAATGTACGCATTGGATCAAGGAAAGTAGGTAATGAAAATGTTTGTATCGACGGGGAACATCCCGTGATACAAAACTCAACCCTCCAACCCTTCACGGATTGGGGTGGGGACTAATAAAAAAGTTAAATGGAAACCACCGTTGTTTTTTTTTGCAGATTCAGATTCTCCCAAAAGAATCAGTGATGTTTGTATTTAACTTTTTTTCGATTCGCGATAATGGTTCTGTAATCGACAAAAAATAAAATAAGCAAAAAACTTTCAAAATTGAGTTTTCATGACAATTACACATCAAATCGAAAACATTTAAAAAAAATACTGTTCAGTAATTTTCAAGAGCTGCTCAATGGTACCAAATGTCACAATATGGTTTTAAACCTTTTTAAAAACCTTCGTTTAACGCGACTCGAAAAACAAAAGCAACTATATCAATTCGTTCTGCATTGTGATCATTTTAGTTTTGTTCTGTAATAAAGTCGCTAGTTCGAATTACGATAGTAATGCGAAGAACTGAGCACGCTGCACTGATTTCTATAAAACTTTGTAGTTCATCAAACGGCCAGAACTGCACTCCTGTAGGTGCTTCTCATACTTCCATCTTGGAGAGAGAAAGGGGAGTTGTTCAGTGGAAGAAGGCACACTGCGTCGCTTGTTATCACTGAGCAGCATCTTGGAAATTATGGAACATGTATTTTTTATTTTTCTATTTGATGTGTAATTGTCGAGGAAAACTCACTTTTTCACATTTTTTGCGTATATTGATTTTTGACGAATACTGCGGCAACTATCACGAAACAGAACAAACGTTGAATTCAAGTTTGTTTTTTTTCTTCGGAGAATCCGAATCTGCTCAGTGGTTCCCATTTAATAGTCCCCGTCGATACGAATTTCATAATTCATTATTACTTTCCTTGATTCAATGCGCACTTTTCGAAATATTCCCAGAACGAGTTTTAATTGGAACACCAATATATTATCAGCAGTTATAATATCATTACATTCGTTTTGTGACTTCCTGAAGGTTCTTTACTGGTTATTATACTATACTGGCTATAGGATAAATCTACGAATGTAATGTCATATTTACAATATGTTGAAGAACATACAGAATCGTTGAAGAACGGGGGAATTAATAAATAATGTGAAAGGTGGTGCAGAATAAATGTTACACATTTCTCGGGCAAGCATCGGGGCCGAATTCGATCAGTTGTTGGAAATTAATCAATTGAATTAGGAAAATCCCCTATAAGGAAGTTACGAGTGACATTTTTGACGTGGAACCCCTGTTTGGTAGGCAACCCGTTCTTCACTGGTGTTTCGTAGGTACTCTAATTTGTCGAGATGAGTCGATAATTTTTTAACCCAACATAGAAAGTTTAGTATAACTGAACACATGTTGAATCCAACGTTATCACTTCTTAGCTTCATACTCGTAGGTTTTTTGTTCTGCAAATCATTCCAATAGAACAGCGGAAATGGTAGTCTACAATAGCACTTTCCACATTCGATATTCCAAAACGTTGTTCAGAAAATAAGAAGTCTCAGAAAAAGTGCGACAACCCCGCGTGTTGTAAATCAGTTACCCCCTGGAATCCAGTGCTGATGGCTTGGTGGCCCAGTGGTGATGGTTAGCGGCCTTGCCTTGGCGTCGTGGGTTTGAGCGCGGAGCACGGGTCGGCGGCGTGGGCCAGGGCAGTTGCGCCGCGATGGGCGACCGGGCGCCGCTGGCGGCCGATAAACGCCGCGCGACCTGTCGGCGCAGTGATGGATGGCGGCCAGGGGTCCTCGCGGCCGCTCGTACGTACGGCGCGGGCCGTGCACAATGGGCCGAAATCACTCCGCGTGGTGTTTATTTTTATTTTTTTATTGTAAGCATTCAACCAATAACAAAATGGAGGTGGGGGACGTTACTTACGCTTAAGGCGAACCGTAGTGTAGTGGACAGACCGCTGTCATTTCAGGACCGAATCTAGAGTTCGAATCACGATCGATCCACGTTGAATTTATGGTGGACAAAGTGAGTTCGTGGTAACTTTACTCTAGGTTCTCCCTTTGCCCTGTACATTATTCTACCTTTGCTCCATTATCATTCAGATCATGTCCTAGACAGTCACAATCACCACCCACATATCAAGACCATCTTGGGTGTAGTGGACACGTTTGTATTGAGATGGCTTATAACATTTACAAAAATATTTTAAAACGTTAAATAATACTATTTTTCAAAACCCCTTACTTTCTTTACTTTTACACTTTGTTTCATCGGCCAGAGATGTACCAATATGAGTTGTCGCAATGTTACTCTTGTGACATCCAAAATAATATCTTAAAACTATTTTATCTCATTTTGAAGGGTACTCCCGTACGTAGATTTGCTGCCGCAATTTCATTGTGTCGTGGCGGCAATATTTTTCCCGACCCTGCGTGTTCCGACCCATTGCGCGGGCGGGCGGGCTGTGACGTGGGCGGTGCGGGCGGCGCCGTCCGCTGGTAAGCAGCGCCAAGTGGATCAGCCTATTACATAATCCGCGCCTCAAATCGCTGCCCCCAGCGCAGAGATTTATCCCCTCGCCTCCTTAATCCTCACCTCGCTAATCGGCAGTCTCGCGTGATGTGAAAAACAATGCCACCAATATCCCTGAAAGCTCATTCACAATAAGTAAATTTAAACGTCACTGTAAACGCCAAAGATTGGTGCCACGTGATGAAACCTTCGAGAACAGTAAATATAAAAGTGAACAAAAACATGATAACCGTCGAAGTTTACGAACCGTTCACGTTTACGTTAAAGTCGTTTGTCAACGCGCTATCCTGTACTGCAGAAGCATCTAAAGAGCGTTCAGAGTAGGATTTGTGTTGAAGTTAATTCACTTCGTGAGAGCATAAATTGCAATTCCTTTACCTTCGCCCATGAAATGCGCCATAGAAGTCTTCGGCCTATACTAATACAATCAGTTACCATGAATTAAAACTGTATTATCAATGGACGGTATGCACCAAAAGGCTAGCTACAGTGAAATCTTGAGAAACGGGGTATCGTATTAGCGGCCGATTTTTCATTAAGCCGATAGCTATTTTCGTAAGACACGTGTAAATATTCTTTCTTTTAAGCGGTCACCTTGCCCGACAGTCGGTCCATGTCGTAAATTAATCTGTTTTAAATGGCCACAACTTCCTGATAATTTTGCTATTTTGAGCCGTAGTGTTATAATAAGCGGATGAGCTGTGGAGATTACTCTTGTGATGTGATGGGACACATTTTCAGTTTACTTAGATAAGAGTTATTTTGAATATTTAAGTCCCAGGAGGAATTATTTTCTACGTCAAATACCTATAGACTATTTTCACGTACGCTCTGAAGTTCCTTCGGGGTGTGATATTACACCGCTGAGTCTAGTTTGAAATCAAGTATAGAATGGAATAGCCTGTTGGGAATGAAGTCTACGAATGAGAATAACCAAAACAGTGGCGTAAAAAATATGGCATTGTATGGAAAATTGGAATTATTTTTATTTGTTATAATTAAATTTTCTAAAGTGTTGAACTTACAAAAGGCTTTTAGTATTTCTAGCTTCAGCAAAAACGAAAACATTACGGTAACATTTAGCAAAAACTGAAGCATAATGGGCTCTTCTTCGCAACATTAATTAGACCTGTGAGCTTTCCCTATCGTATGACCTCCATTGCGCGACCACCTGAACCAATTTTCGTGTCCAATAGTGACCGCTTAAAACAGGTTGCACAGTATTCCAGCCCGCTGGGGTGAGGCGGCTCCGCGCCGGCGCGAAGCGAGGGTGGCCGGCCGAAGCGACAGCTGTCAGCGACGTCCGCTGATAAGGCTGATGGACAGCGACGACCACCACGGCGGCAGCGGCGGGCACGCATTGTTCCGCACCGTCAGCGGTGGCTCACACCCCCTCCCACACACCACAGCCGGCCGCGCTTCACGCGTCCGTTGCGTGCGCCGCCCGGAAACGACGCGCTCCGCTCCCCCCTCGCCCCCCCCCCTCATGACGTAGGAGACACGCCCACTCAGGCGTGGGTGAGCTTGCTTGCCTCTCCCTGTGAATGAACGCTCTCCGCTTTCCATTCAGCTCAATGGCACCCCCTTATCTCGCTTGCAACTGTCGTTTGCGTCGGCGCTTAGTAGCCTCGTCCTGGACATGTTGCCT